ATTTTTAATCTTAAAGGTAAAGTTGCACGTCGTTTTATGTGTTAGCGTAACATACAAATTTGACTCATCGTTACAAGTCTCAGGTATTACGGGGGGCAAGCAATAATAATTACATTAACAGCAAATAGTTTATAAAAAAAGATATTTTATATGACCCAATAACAATTAACAAAACTAATCGAAGATTAGTATCACACGTAATTCACACAAATATGCACTTAAAATGCAACCCCCAACGGTTATTTTTTGTGCTAATTCTTAGCACGTGTGCCTTAGAGCTGCAGTGTGCTATCCAGATGTTGACACACAAAATCTCAAGAGGCCTATCAACAGTGGTATAGCACTTATCCTTATTCTTCAAAGATTTATGTTACAGCTTTGGATCTAGTGTCAAATTTTGCACTGCCAAACATCCACTTCTGGACTCTTCCAAGTGTTACTTCCGCAAACAGTTTGTAGTCTCATCCTGTTTAGTTCCGCGAAATGTTTGGAGCAAATAGTTGAATTGTTGTAAAAAAATATTCGATTTGTGTTATGACTAACTTATCTCATTTTTTTGTGACAATGAAAGGTTTTATTTTCGTATATTTGAATTAGTATTGAATGTGTTTTACACATGTGTGTTTGTTTTAACCTATCATTTCTGTATTTGACATTATAATAGACTGCACGGTTGGTGCGGTGGCTGGGCAACTGGCTAGCGTGCGACGAGTCGCATCGCACGTCGTGTCGGGTTCGATTCTCGCACGGAACAACTCTTTGTGTGATTTATAGACTATTATTTCGGGTATGGGTGTCACGTGTATGTGAATTTGTATGTTTGTAAACGCACCCACGACACAGGAGAAAATCGTAGTGTTAAGATTTTAGAAAAAAAATCGTAGGTTTAATGTTTGCAAAAGCTGCACTTAACAGTATTATAACCGATACGTACCTATACTCCGATTTCCCATTTTTCAGTAGCCCTAGTAATTTCAGACTTAATTTAAACTGTCATACCTACACCAAGCGGTCACCGGTGACCGCAACCTATTGTTCTATAATTGTGTCTATAATGACGGTACTCGACGAGTTAATTATTTGGGTATTTCTTATAATTTTATTAGTCCAAAATGACATGTTTCCTATAGAAAAATATGCCAAATATACCTCTACTTTAACAAAAGAAGAAGTAATAAAAATACTATAAAAAATTACCTACAAGGCCTTATTACATAGTTATATCAATAAATCCTGTACCAACGTCTATTACTCAATTAAAACAACCTTATAATAATTATAACGTTGTGTAATTAACCACGAAATCGAGTCGCGGAACACATTGAGCAAATGTTCCCCGAGCGCGGAACAGGAACCGGATACTGTACTCCCGGAACATCGTGTAATAATTACTTGCACCGCTCCACATTGTTCTAACTGTTAGTAAATTAAGTCAACATATTTTAAAGGAAAAATTAAATAAACAGACTACGATTATAATAGTTATAAATAGCTGCCTTATTGGCCAAGTGGTCGCAAGTGTGACTGTCGGGCAAGGGGTCTCAGGTTCGATTTCCGGGTCGGGCAAAGTACTACTGGGTTTATAAAAACCTCAATAGTAGCACGGAGTGGAAATGTGTCCGGTATATGGCAATAAGCTCACCCCCTATTACATGGGACTCATAACATAAATATAAATAGTGAAAAGTCGGTGTCACATTGTACAGTGCAACTCTACCGACCCCTTTGGGGATAAAAGGCGTAATGTTTTTTTTTTTAGTTAATTACGCACATTTTGCTATTTGATCTATAAAGTTAGTACCAAATACTAAGTAAATACCTTTCAGGAGTTGATTCCGTAGTCCCATTAAATTTTGACATTCTATTGGCGTTGCATCTTTTTAGCTAAAGGATCAGGTAATATATCAATGACATAAAAACCTTTTTTTTGCATAGTACCGATGATGTTTCTTACTCGTTCTTCTCGATTCAAGACCACACTTTGGAACGAGCCCCTAACTTCACTGACAGACAGACTGACTGACGGACAATTCAATTTTGACTTTCAACTTTCACTAAAAATATTAGCAAATTAAAATACTTACTACTTTGCCAGACCTGAGAAAGAAACTATTGTTGATGTCGTGTTAATCTATACTGAAATTGAAAACATTCGTACCCAGAAGTACATGTTTTCAAAAAAAGTTTTCTAATACAAATAGTTATTAGTAGTATGTTTTTATAATAACTATCGTGAGACATACTAAATTAACTAAAAATCGCGGGTTACTCACGTGAATATACTGAGAAAAGCTCTACTACTTTCGAACCACAGAGGGGTTTTTCCTCATGAGCAGCGTGCGCGGTTCTTCCTCATGAGCAGCCTACTCCGACGTCCGACCGTGAGTAACCCGCGATTTTTAGTTAAGTTATTTATTGTATTAGGAAACTCCAAAACTGAAATTCGGGTATTTGGTTTAAACAAAAAGTTAACATATTGCTTTTGAATGGACGAGTGACCTACATTTTATGTTTTAATTGTTAATCCTACTCTTCAGTAAGTATTAGTTAACATACAACGCTACAGGAAATATCACTACAATATACTATATTATGCAATAATTACTTATACCGCACTTCAGCACTCCATTCTTGGGAAAGAAAGTAAGGATGAAGCTCCTATATGACTACTATTTTATTTCTACCGTGGAGTTCAAGTGATCACTGATGTATGTGAAATACTCACATACATCAGTTATATAATCAGTTAATTTAGTTAGTATTATGTTTAACGACTTACCTATATAGCTGTGTGATGAGGAACTGCAATTTGGACTTTATTGACATAAATTACTTAAGTTTGACGTGTATTAATAAAAAAGAAAACAAACATAAGGCAGGAATCATTTAACATCACGCCTTTTATCCCCGAGGGTAAGCAGAGGTACACGTTATGGCACTTAACGCCACTATAAGTACAATGTTGCACCCACTTTACACTATTTACGTTATGAGTCCCATGTAATAGGGGGTGAGCTTAATGCCATATACCGAGCACATTTCCACACTCCGTTACTACTGAGGTTTTTAAAAAAAATCCAGTAAAACTCTGCCCGACCTACGAATCGAATCCGAGACCCCTTGTCTTGGCAGTCGTACTTGCGATCACTTGGCTAACGAGGCAGTTTAACTTAATGAAAAGAATTATATTCAACCGATTTTCAGGTACTTACATCTCTCTATCAAAGATAGAGAAATTACTTTCATTGAAATTGATACACAATTAAACATATAAAAACAACTAATAATTATTTCATAAAGTACCTTTAAATAATCGACTTCAATCCCCTTTAATAAATATATTTAAACCTTCTCTTAAGTGTAACAGATACTTTTCTGAAAACTGCATCAAAATCGATTCCAAAAGTCAAAAAGTACCAAATTATGGTTTAATTGAAATAAATGCTTTTACTTTGACTTTGATTCAGCCAATCGCGAGAAAATCGAGCACCAACATGACTGCACGGTTGGTGCGGTGGCTGGGCAACCGCCTGCCGAGCAACGTGTCGTAGGTTCGATTCCCGCACGGAATAACACTTTGTGTGATCCGCAAATTGTTGTTTCGGGTCTGGGTGTGATGTGTATGTGAACTTGTATGTTTGTAAACGCAGCCACGACACAGGAGAAAATCCTAGTGTGGGGCAACGTTTTTTTAAAAGAAAAGTACATACATACAGGTCACACAGAGAACCTCCTCCTTTTTTTGAAGTCGGTTCAAAATGAAATTTCGTTCAAAAAGTAACTAAGAAAATATTGTTCCCATTCCACACTTCCCAACCTCGCGCTTGTATCGATAGACGAAGCATTCCGCGAGCGGTTTTAAGACGCCCGTAATTCCGCTCGAGTGTTTCACACATAGTAATCGGATAACGTACTGTCGAGCATGTGTTGCACTCATGCAAAGCGATATTATGGCAAATGCATTTAGATATCTACTAGGAGAATGGAATGGCTTTAAGATTTGGTGAGCTAAAAATGGTGTCCTTTGCTCAGATTCGGACTACTCATAATTATGTTGAGTCTCTTTGAATTCATACTAGGTCCTAATGAAGAGCAATTGTAAGTACATGAATAAAGAATTTTTGTCAAAATATGAAATTATAACTTCTCTTTGATTAAGGTTCTTGTCTTGTATAATACAAACACTATGTTATACAAAAGATATTCAAAACTTTACTAGCCTAATTGGCCGCCCCACTGCGAGAACAAATGCTTTCAACTAGTTTCACAACAACCACTATTACTATTTAAAAACCGCACAATAAACTTCTATAGCGAACAATATTAAAATGCACACCCGCCGATGCAGAAGGGTGCACAAAAATCATAACACAAAAGAAAAATACGGTTATTTTACACCAGTGCGGTAGATTATATCTTTTATGTTCAAAATCAACAGGAAGCTTTCAAATGGGGCATGTAACCTACACTTATTGTAGATGCTGTTTCGCGAGGGTGAATAAATTTTTGAAGCCAAAGGGTTTCTACAAACAAGTCTGCAAAAGTAATTTGGTACTTTTTTAATAATTGCACACGTTACGGGCGTAGATGCAGCGGACGAGCCGTTTGCCGAGTTTGGTAAAGTTTTAATTCAATTTCGACGTGAAAACAAAGTAAACACTCAGTGGAGCGCTCTGTGGTTTGAGTTAAGTTCCAGAGTAGATTAGTAACACTAAATTCGACGTTACATTAATTATAATTAAAATATTTTGAAAGAGAGAAAGAAAAAGGTCAGGCGGTAACTAATGTATGCAATTATGAGAAGATGACGGATGTGATGGACGCCAATGTATGCAAAGATAGGCGTACTAGGCCACTGTACTTTCTACTTCTATTTAAAAAAAAAAGGATTTTGTTGAAAAATAATACGTGCATAAGTTCTGCTACTTTTTATTTTATAAAAATACAAAGCAGTGTTTTGGTTTAATAAATCATTTAAAAATTATTAACATAATTTATACTTATAATCTCAAATACTTTCTGAGAGTTTGACTAGCTAATTGACCGTTCGTGGGGATTCTTTCCAATTTTCTGATATAGTCTTTTGGTATATTGCATTCATAGGCACCATGAACAATGCATTGTTTATATGTTATCGACGGTCTTCTGTGTGCCGGAAGGGATGATAAAGAACAAACATCGGGTGGGAAACTGGTATGTTGATAAGTTCGACATTTCGCTTGTTTGCCATCTCTATATTTTATGTAGACTTGCTTTGGTACATATTGTTGAAGGTCAACACCTTCTTGTCTGAAAAAAATGAAACATTTTTTTCTCTTGACCTTACTTAATTTTACTTTCGAGTGTAGCAGTAAGCCTCAGCCCAGTCTTTGACTACCGACAGAACATACCACTATTTTATAAATTATTTTAATGAAGATAATCACATTCGTTCTTTCTGGCAATAATATTTCAGGAGAACCTCATATTGCTCTCAAAAATTCCAATTTAACAAATTCTCATTTATTTTAAGTTGTAGTTACCAAAATAAAGATTAATGTAAATAAAGGAACATACTTGTCGAGAGACGGCATTTCCTCACATTGCATTTTCCAAACTGCTCCCCATACATGTTCTTTTAAGTTTGGCACTATAGTAGCCACAGATCCTCCCCATAAATTGTAATGATGTACGAAATCAAGCCTGAAATTCTAAAAATACAAACAATAACATTATAACATCACGCCTTTCATTCCTGACGGGGTAGGCGCACGTTATGCCACTGTACAATGTAACACCCATTTTTCACTATTTATGTTATCAGTCCCATGTAATAGGGGGTGAGCCTATTGCCATAAATATACCGGGCACAATTTTTCCAGTCTCCATGCTACTACTGAGATTTCTTTTAAAAACCCCAGTAATACTTTGCCTGACTCGGCAATCGAACCCGAGATCCCTTGCCCGGCAGTCGCACTTGCGACCACTCGGCCAATGAGGCAGTCAGAAATACAAACAAACAATTTAAATATAAGGAAAATCGAACGAAAGTACTCTTGTTATTACATATGAGATTAGGTTTATCAAGGTATGTACAAGTTCTGGGTTTTTTTTCCTGGACCATTATTTATATTTAGCACCGTCTTAGGTATCATCAGCCCTAGACCGTCCACTGCTGGACATTTCTTTGAGCATATAAGAATTTTACCATTGTTAAAATTCTGTACTTAGTGAATCTTAATTCTTATTTCTACAGGTAAGTAATATTATTGCGAATCCTAATAGGTAATCCATTATCTAATAAATTACTTACATCAAGGCGTCCAACGCCTACAAATTCGGCCTTTGGGTTATTGATTCGAATTCTCCTTTTTAACAAATTACTGCCATATGCAAAATAAAAGAAATGATGTTTAACTGGGTGCACCAGCATATAACACAGAGCAATATTGAATATTTTTATCAGATAAGCAATTACAATAATTTGGAATAATGACATTTTAGCGACATGGCGTTGACAGACATAACAACAAAATTGTTGGTTTATTTTGCAGTCGCAATTGACAGGAATCATAATTTTATTTCATCTTCTATTAATGGCGATTTCATCTGTTCAGTTTACCATAGCCAAAAAAGGATTTTTGGCAAGTAGGTTTTATAGAGTTTTTGATAGTACTAAGTACCTCCATATTTTCATAGTACTGAAGCAATATAATAGTGATCTTTATGCGGCATATAAACGTAAAAAAATTTGCGGATTTATTCCATGGATGACGATGAGACCTATGTATGGTCGATCTATTACTTATCATCTTGTCGACATCGTTAGAGTTTTAGGAAAAAGATGATACATCACGACCAAGAAAAAGAAGAGAAAGACATTAATATCTAATAATACACATAAATATCTGCTAAACCCAGTTAATACAATCTTGAGCGGATTTTCAATGGAAGCTTACATCTGAAGCTAAATTTGCACCGAGCGTAAGCCACGATATTTTTGTTTACCAAAGGCCGAGGTGTTTGCATTGATATCTACTTGGGAATTGTTATTAAAAGCTTTAAGAGTTCGGTAAATATAACTACAGTCTTTATTATTGTTTTGAGATTTTGCTCGTCATCGTACTTATATTCTTTTATTAGTAACTTTATTCATATTTTTGTACAGAGCTTTAATATTTTATTATACTTTTCATTTTACAACATCAAAATATTATAGTTAACAAGACCTTTACCAGTTTCAGCGGTCCAGCCCTATAGTTACCAAAATTACGTTCTATATCTGTCAATACTTAGCTAATGATTGCAACCACTACCCGAAATCGGACTATACATAATACCCTAAAAGAAAGATTTAACCAGATATTCGAAGGTCATAGAGATAGAGGTATCTGTTCGTGACACATCGGTCTCATCGCCACATGTTCAGCATTAGTGATATATAGCGCACAAATCCAACGATCACAATCTACAATGTCAGGGATTATTAGGGGATGCAACTGGATTAGACTTGCTCGGTGGTCTCAAAGACCCTAATGTTTTTTGTCATGCACATGATATGACATACGGTCGAGTGCGTTTGAGGACATCTGGCAAAAATGTTATTGAGCTTAAATAGACCGAATTGATGAGAAATATTTTGGCAAATGCTATCTGTTGTGTTATGATGTGTGGTGGAACAAATATAGCGGTACTTTTGTATGCTAAATCGATAAAAAACCTAAATAATTATTGTTTTAAGCACATTATGAATATATAAAGTATGGATTTGTCAGTAGTTTTGTTTTAATTAGTAGTATTCAATTATTAACGTACTATTAATAAAAACCTACACACCTACAAACCAAAAAATTGTTAGCAATATATGGTACAAATTGAAAATTGAATATTTAGACCTGACTTTGACATGATCATATTAACTAAAATCTACAATCAATATGCGTAAAGGATTTATCCAAGATAAAATCAGCCACGTGCCTATATAATTGCTCCGGTTTTTCAATTAGTTTCTCACACATGTCATTATAAAATATTCTTTATAAGTAGACCCGATTTTTTAATTTCATGTAGGTTATCACTCCCCTCGTTCCAGGGTTGGTACTGGACTCATGTTCGCTTATAATTTAGGGTTGGCCATTGTGTTAACATTGAAATTAGTATCGAAAGGTGTGATATAGCTCTCGAACTTTATTCATGCACACGTATTAAAACCGGTTCGTGTTATGATTTTGGGCACCCCTACCCTTCGAGTGGGCAATTTTTTAAATAGCGGCAGCACGGGCCTGCGTTGACAATAGGGTGTTATTTCATTCAATAATTTAACATGTGGGCTCAATGTTGTTGGTTACGTAATATTATTCATATAATACTATGATATTAATATCTTTAGCGTTCTAAAAATATAAACAATGCTTTAAAATATGCGTCTTGTCTAGGTTAACTTCTGAGAATAATTATTAAAATCTATTGCTATGTGGTATATGATAGTTAGTCGCCCACATACCCAGACTATTGTGTCTGCGGCTTAAAATGAAACCATTGTCTGTAGCAGACGAAATTTTACTATAGCTTTTATTTATTTTTCGCTATTTTGTCATCAACATGGTCCCTATCCAAAACACCATTAATTTAATTCATCTTATCAAATGTCTTTATATTCTTAGTAAACATGTCAATAGTAATCTCACTCACTTTGTCTAACAAAACAAAATCCTTATTTGCATGGACAAAAGCGCAAACTGCAAACAGCAATGCACATTAAAATGTTAAACAGGAATAAAACCAATGTCCTGAACAGCTTAGATAATTTTATAGACATATTAATATGCAACACGTCTACGAATTACTCTATTAAACGCCAGTTAACGTGCACTCCACAACACTTGGCTTAACGAGAGTTTTGCATGGATAATTTGTTTAAACGGAGTTTAGCAGTTTAATCGCAGGTCAAGTAGGGACTGGCCACCTAAGCGCCTTCTTAATTACACCTAAAATTATACAGTCCGTCGAGAGATTTGGAACTGTCCGTTTTAAGTGAGTGACGTCATTTTGTTTGTCAGTGGTACTGTAGGGAATCTGTATGGAAATGTTTTTTTAAGACTTTTTAAGAATTTTAAGGACATGTAATAGATTTATGGACAAATTATTTTCTTTATATTTTTAAATGTTTATTCTTACTTGCTATGTAGGCAGAGTTTACGAAAAGTTCAATTTTATATAAATGCATGTTAGTTATAACATTATTTCCTACGACAATGGTCAAATCGTGTGTAGAAACTTAGTAAACTGACAATATCGGGGCGACCACTCGGCCTTTGTCTGACGACCAACTCTAAGCGCTTAATGAAAATCGGCTTGCCCGCTTTCTGCATATAGAGAGGCAATTTACTGAAATGGTCGCATGCCTTCGAACTAATGCGAAATATTGCCGTGATCTTTTGATTTACAAACTTCAACTTTATCTTGACAACTGTAAGGACGTTTAAGAGTGAACTTTAGTATATTGCAACGCGATGTGTTTCGATGGTTAATGATTTTGCAAATATAGGAGCTGAAGAGTATTTAGATTACCTAAATCTTCTGTTAGTACTGTTAAACAAACATGATTAAATTTGATTCAAAACATTATTTTGCTAAACATTCTAGCACGAAAATTATTTTTAGCTTGTCTGCGTAATGTAAAATAGGACAGTTTTAAAATATTCTTCATTTCTTCGTTTTCCATGTTTACTGCAAAACATAACATTATCCTTAAAAATCATTATTTTATCAAATTAACTTCAGTCAATGTTATGTATATCAAGACTGTTTTTAAATACCCAAAAATCCTAAAAACGTTTAAAACTGCGTTCTATAATAAAACATTTTGATAAATTCCATCTCAAACAACCACTTCCGTTCATCAATTCAGGCTACCATACAGTACTCGTTAAAACGCCAAAAAGTTTTCGGTTAGCTCAGTCTCGTACACTATATGGACGGAATACAGCGACTTTTAATTTTTACCTTTAACATTTTTGGAATTTTCCTGCCAAAGGCTTCAAAGCCCAAACTGATGCTGGTTACCATGCAGTGATAAAATTATAACATCGACATTGATAGAGTTGGCAAACTTTAAAACTATGTCGTTTCAAACTAAATATCAAATAATTTGGAGTTCGTATAAATTGAGGTTTAAATTTCGTTTAATAATTTACTTTAAGTTATGTAATGAGAATTTTTGTGGAGTCAGTCGTTCATGTGCAAGTTAGCAGTAATTTCGTAGTTTTGCAAAGCATTATTATTTATGTTAAAAGTGAATAGGTAGATAATTATTATTATTTTACATACCTCCAGTCAATGATATTTGCATCCATTATTTTGTTAAATATAAAACGTTTTCGATAAATAATAATAATTATTATTTCGATAATTGAAATTCTATTCTGGTCTAATGAAATGTCAAAGAAGCTAAAAAGAAAATACCATTTGAAATAAATCTAGTAAAACTTTCTTCATTATAAACTGAAGAACATATTTTCAAATATTTATGTATAGTTACGTGACTGACTCGTCTCATGGATAGCTACTGAAGGTACGATTGAGGCCTTAATTTTAGGATTATAAAGACATACAACACAATCATCGTTGAAGTCTTTACTTCAACGATGATTGTGTTGTATGGAGCTTTCTCCATATGGCATTAATTTCCTCCTCATGTATCATTACTTAGTTTGTGTACATCAATACATAGTATAAAACAAAGTCGCTTTCGCTGTATGTCCGTATGTATGCTTAGATCTTTAAAACTACGCAACGGATTTTGATGCGGTTTTTTTAATAGATAGAGTGATTCTTAAGGAAGGTTTGTATGTATATACATATTGCGCCCGTGTGAAGCCGGGGCGGGTCGCTAGTTAAAGATAAAATAAACAAAGCTAAGTAACTAAAAAATAAAGAATAGACCAAACAATACATTCGTTATTTTTATCCAGCTAATCGTATAGGAACAAGTTTAATCAGAGTTGATGCACAGTATGCAGTAGCTAAAAGTAATCCGATACTTGTTCAACAAATCTAACGACTTGTCGTGTCACATCGGATGCCACGTGTTTCGGCTGTTAGACAGATATACATTGGAATCTCTACTATTATAGCGATAGAGCATAAAAGGGGAGATAGGGAATATTATGCGTTAAAACATTGGTGTAGTAATAGAACCAGATTTGTTTAATTATATTTTGTTTATAATTTTGTGTAATGTTGACTTAGAGTTGTTGAAATAGAAAAAAAAGAATCAATTAACATGACTGTCAGTTTCCTCGAAAATCATAATCTGTTGTTCGTGTAACTAATTAGAAGAAGTCTGTGTGTATCAAGACAAGTAATCCTAATCAGAGTTTTGGGCAACAAGTTTAGTTGACCAAAACGTTAAATTGATTGAAAATAAAAGACTAAGTCATACACCAACGAGTAATTTTCGCACTTCAAAAAAATCTATCGCCTAGGTACACCAAGAAA